ATTTCATAAAATCCTACTTTGGATCTATATTTATGGCATTGGATTCGAAGAAAACAAAATAAAAATGTTAAAAAAAGGAAAAGGAAATGGGTTTCAAATTATATGTTTTCTTACTTCGTTTATCAACACAACGTGGGTGACAGGGTACACGACTACACATGACAAGAATCGTGAAAAACAAGTTCAGAAGCCTAACATCACAAAACAGTACTATGGATACTGCATTTTCCTATGATCCTATCCATGTGCATTTATATTTATATTTTCTAATATTTTTTTGTGTGCTTAGTTTTCTCGCAAATTTTAAGAATTCAAAAAGGTGAGACAAAAAAGTTTTTTATTTTATAAATTAATGTGTTTAATTATTTTAGAAAAATAATTAATGTTTGATCTATTGCAGCAGACATGAACCTGTGGTGGCTACCGTTAGGGAATGATTCATTTCCTTTTTCTTTACTTACATTTATATTTATATAGGTATCGGCTATAATTCTGATGATGCAAGGACATTGATGTTTCAGTGAATGTGGTGTTTGCCAAAACATTCTCTAGCTGTCTTTCACATGAAAAACATTTCACCAATTGATTGAACCCCACCACACTCACATTAGAAGTCATTCAGTCAAGCGTGCTAAACCTTTTTTTTTTTCCTTCTTTTTTCTGTGGGGTGCTTCCTTCTTTTAGAATTAATTCAGAAACTTCTTGTAATGTTTTTCAGCAGGTTCAAAAAACAATGATAGAGGGAGATAATGGAAATCAAGACAACAAGGCTCACACATTGCTTTCGGAAAAATAATTTGAGCGAGACTGATAGAGAAATCAAGTCCAATGAATGTAAATGTAAATAGACTTTGAACAGTGTGTCTATATTTTTAACAAGCTTGTACAGATTTTATATTGTTTCCAAAATCATGAATTTGGTATAAGCTTTTTATTTTTTGCAAATGGAAAATATACGGATAAGAACACTCGATCACGCCTTTCAGCATGTGACTGACAGGCACGGCCGAACTGGTCAGGACGAGTTAACATAACTTACTAAACCTAGTAGTTGACACCCGATCAGCCACCAAATAGTCGAAGTCCTACCAAACCTAGTAGCCGACACCCGATCAACCACCAAATAGTCGAAGTCCCCGGTAAAGTAAATCATGGACTCAAAAATCACCCCTAATCAAGGATTAAGGGTTAATCACACAAATAAGCCGATTAGAGACGTATTACTTAATAGGGTTATCCCGTTACAGGGCCCATGGAGAGCATGACCCATTAATGTCAGTATAAATAGCTCACGTCTCGAGGTAACATCACTGTTCATTAATTGCTATCGATACCTGTGTTTGTTCTGACTTGAGCGTCGGAGTGCCTTTTGCAGGTAACCTCCCTCTCACCGGAATATTTGTTTGGAACTCTCGTTCAGCCTTTAAAATACGAGAAGTTTACTAGTGTGTCATTCAGACAGGTACAAAAAATAATTACATGTATGCTCACAAAATTATTTTCATTGTTTTTTTTTCTCTATGATCTACAAATATCACCACAGACATGTAACTCATATTACTTTAATAATGTATTTATATAAATTTTTTATAATTATACTTATAAAACGCTATTTTTATTAGCATGTCCAAATATTTTACTAAAATTAATAAAAATTAATTTTATAAAGCCAAAATCACCTAAAATTGTATTTGTAAACATTTCATAAGCACACACATTAAAATATTTTTATAATTTGGTGAATGCGCATCGAGTGAGCATCGATGTTGAAACAAACAAATTGTAAATCAACAAAAAATTATTTTCCGTTGCAGAAAGATGATGTGGGTGTTCTTCTTTTGATCTTCCAAACAAACAGTGACCATGGGTCACTTATGAAGATTGTGAAACTAGGAGTTAGGATGACAAACAATATAGAATATTGTGTTACACTTATTAGGTGATAACTTTTGTTTATATATAATGAAGATGTTAGATATAAATTAGAAGTATTTTTGAGAGATTTTTTTTATTTAAAATAAAGAGTATTTTAAAAAAAAATGCTTTTAAACATGTATTCAAACAAATTTTATGTCTTTTTCCCTTTTTCCCATAATTAACTAATATGTGATCATTCTCTTATTAATTTTTGTTGATTATTATTTAGTATTTTAAGAAGTTTGTTACATTGTAAGAAGTTTGTTATTTTGTAAGGTGAGTGTATGGTACAACTTAATTGTTGCATACGTACGTCTTTTGTATAAATAGATCTTTAGAATTATTATATATATATTTTTTATAAAAAATTATATTGATTTTCAAAGTAATCAGATCATTCAAATGTAGATTATTCATAGATACTAATAAAGATAGGAAGATAAAAAAAAAAAAAAAAA